CACCTTCTCACAGCCCCCCATATGGGCCACCATCCCTATAGCTCCTAAATGGCACCTGTCACCCCCTTGTCACCAGCTCCTTCCCCCCACTCTCCACCCAGGACCCCTCTGACAGGACCCCCATGGTGGCTTTTTGGGTGGGGGGGTGTCCAAGGGGATGTCTTCAGGCTCGGTTCCCCTCTGCAGAGGGACACCCGTGAGGTGGTGGCCATCAAGTGCGTGAACAAGAGCAGCCTCAACCGAGCGTCGGTGGAGAACCTCCTGACGGAGATTGAGATCCTCAAGACCATCCATCACCCGCACATCGTGGAGCTCAAGGACTTCCAGGTGGGGCTGAGGGCTTCCTTGGGGGTGGGCACTGAGCAACCACTGGTCCAGCTCAGGACCTGGGGTCCATCCTGGTTACCCCAGGGTGTATCTATGGTGTTCAGTGTCAGCAACTGGGCAAACTGGTCCAGGCAGGTCCTGCGTGGGTGGGATATGTGGTGGGACCGGCTAAGGTGGCATGATAGAGTTCTGTCACCTGGTAGTGGGACAGCGACCATATCTACCTGATCATGGAGTTCTGCGCCGGGGGGGACCTCTCCCGCTTCATCCGGATGCGCAGGATCCTGCCTGAGAAGGTGGCACGCATCTTCCTGCAACAGCTTGGTAAGGGGAGCTCCCTCCCCGGGGATTTTGGAGGGCAGGGCTCTTGGCACCAGGGCTGTGGTGATGCACCCCCTGCCACATGCCCCTCTGCCCGCCCAGCCTGTGCCCTGAAGTTCCTTCACGACCACAACATCTCCCACCTGGACCTCAAGCCACAGAACATCCTCCTGAGCTCCCCGGAGAACCCCCAGCTGAAGCTGGCAGGTCAGGGCAGGTCCCCAGGGAGGGGCTGGGGGTGACATTTCCCTCTCCTCTCTTTCCCCCGGCTCTCCTCGCCCTTTCCCCCACAGATTTCGGGTTCGCTCAGTACATGTCACCGTGGGACGAGAAGCACGTTCTGCGGGGCTCCCCGCTCTACATGGCCCCCGAGATGGTGTGCCGCCAGCAGTACGACGCTCGGGTGGACCTGTGGTCGGTGGGCGTCATCCTTTACGGTGGGTTTTTGCTTTTATCCCACCCCGGGGCTGGTTCCCCCCTTTCCATCACCCCCCCACTGCTCCCTTTCCCCACCAACTCCCCACAGAAGCACTTTTTGGGCGTCCAC